TAATGATCGTGCTGAAGTCATGAAATCGCAATCCCGCGCGGCATTGTTTACCGACCGGGGTACCGTAGCCCGCGACGAAATCGAGAGTGCCGGGAAATAGCCGACATTCCTTCAGCGACGGTAAACGATCGCCCCCATCAGAACCGTTTGCATGACGTGACGTAACTCCGCAGATTTTCGTGTCCGGGGATTGTAGAGTCGGGATGGTTTCCCACGAGAACGCGTGCTTTCCGAAGTTGCGGCGTCGTAGATCCGGAATGAGTGACGTAACGTAGGAGAGGAAAGTGCGTGTTGAATCTTCCCCGAGAATGCTTTTCCACCCAATTTCCCTTCCTTTCGATGCAACGACGGAGCAATGCGCTTCACTAGGGAAACTATGGCCCCGCTTCTCTCATTTTATTCTGCGTATTTTTTATTTTTTGGATGCCGAGGGACCTGTTAATGCCCAACCGATGATCCATATTCGGACTCCAAATTAGCTAGTAAATCAATGTCTTATCTACGTCATTCTAGGCCGCACGATGATGTGAAGCAAGAAGCAAATGGACCGCATTAATAGGAAGTTTCGAAGAAAAATAAAACTTATGCAAGGGTTTTCCTGAAAGAAAGCACCACCAAGTTGACTTGACCTGGGGCTTGAGGCCTCATTAAAAGACCCTAAGAGGATGAACAGATTCGGGTACTACGTGTACAGTGTTTCCTACTACAAATGTGCCCAGTGGTGCCTCGTCAAAAGAAATCAATTTGTTTCCAACACCATGTTTGCTCCGCAAGTCATTTTGAGGGTTATGGGAGAAATCAATTTTTTTATTCTTGCGAAGATCCAGCTGAATGCGGGCCCAGGAGTTCATATTAAGCGAGGCAAACATTGTAATGAGGAGAGTAACCTTTTCTGATTTCCAGGACATTGATTCTGAAATCAAGGCATCACGATACTGTATGGGAACGGACTGGAAAAATGCGGTCTATATTCGAAATTATTCATCAGATTTGTTCTGACTTGGATTTGCAAGATGGAGTGAATTTTTTCGTGCATAAAATGCAAAGCAATCCACCGTTTTTCAGTAGGCAGCCCACACTGACTGTTACTATACGAAGCAAGATAATCTCCACGAGTGTGATTACCTCGTGGCAAACGGTTCACGAACGAAAAGCAACTCCATTGTTTTCATCCAGGTGCAAGCTGCATATTTCTCTCTAAAATTTTCATTTTTGCGGTCTATCCACTTCACCTTGAAATAACCTCCCAAAATTAGGGTGTGGCCTATGGTAAAAAATAAATCCTTCGTTTGAAGACTCAGAATTACAGTACTGTACTGTACCTTGAATGTAGGCTACTCGTACGACATTGCAGTGCGGTTTATACTGTACTCGAATATCTGGCGTATTGCTTGGACCCGAATGTTCGAACATACTTCTTTGGGAAGAAGTGCGTCCTTTAATTGCGTAAATACGGTACTGCCCGTCTCCATTTCTTTCCTTTACAGCTCCGAAGTCACACGATCCATCAGTTGACGGTCTACGAAAATCACGCCAATTTTCAATCGTCCGCATCCGAGGACTCCGCAAATATGACACTCGGCTAATTTTTCCGATACATTCGGCACACCCTTCAGTGATTCGATCATCCCAATGATAGCGTTTATCTTGGTGATTTCAGTAACAACTTCCGTCATGGCAAATGATCGCCGCGTCAAGGTCAATCACCGTCGTAATGCTTTTTCCGACCGGAAACACGGGTTATTGAAATATTAAATCCCAGTCACGCGGTTCATTGTGAAACTCCGGTGTTCCGTGGTTATAGGTGCATCAACCCAACGGTTCAAGCGAATTTCCAGCGATGCAAAGGTACGGTATCTGCATATCGGCCTCGAAGCAAATGAGGCATTCGTTCCACGAAAACATGATTCGGGTGCAAATGTGACTCAACCACGGCAGTCGTTCAGGGACGAGAGAAAAGAACCTATGAAAATTGTTTCACTGGTTCGAATTTTCCCTTCCTTCAAAACCTCTATTCCGTTTTATCGAGTTAATTTCATGCCTTCGGAGTAACTATTCAATGATCCTTTATGCAACCAACGCAATCTGTTCTAAAGACGGATATTTGATTGAAGCATTCATTGTTCGGGGCACATTTCCGCGTACAGTGATACAGTATTGGGAAAATCGATGCGTTTCCCAACCCTAAATGAGGATAGCTCACACAATTTAGGCATTCCTCTTAGGAATCGTCATATTAAAAAAATTGAAATTATACTGAATAGCCCCCAGGTAAGGCAAACAATTAAATTTTTCACGAAAACAGGCAAAACAATATCCGAAACAAGACCATATAACACATTTTTCAATCATCCTTAAAAGTAATTGAAATTCAATTAATCGCCGTACAACTACACCTGAGTGACAGTATTTATTTCGTAGTGTGTCATTATTTTGGGAAATTCGAGTTTCACATTTGGGATGAGTTCATCTGCGCCATTTAATTTTGGATTCATTGTTTGAGATTTTCCCGGACGAGATTTAACTTTTTATTAAAAGTATTGGAATGATACTAATTTTTTAAATATGCAGCCGGCAAAAACGCTAAAAATTCTCCATATTGATTTTCAGAGCTGAAAGTAGTACAATTAACGAAACATGAGTGCTTCAATCTAATTTTCAAATCATTTAACATTCGAGCAGAAAAAAGTTGAGAAGTTGCAACACAGGCTTTTTTCAGTAATGCCGTCGATCGGGCAGTTCTGCTTGCTTTCTCCTCGTTGCTTTCGGTTTGTTTACCGTTGCTTTTTATACAGAGGCTTTACTCTGTTTGATTTTATTTTTATTTATTTCGATGGAAGTCGGGGCTTTTCTGCCAGTAGTACGTGGGGCACGCCCAAAGTAGTATACAGCATTGTATACAAAGAAATGAATTCATCGAACCATGCGCCTCGTGTCTATAACTCCAGTAATAATCACTCGAGGGAGTGCTTCATGCGAGCTACAGTATACTGTACCATTTTACAGTAGGTACAGTGTACAGTATTAAGAAGAAGGCGAAGAAAATCGGTTACTGTATTACGCACGGCACTGTGTAAAAGGGAGCTACAACAGTGTACAATATCTCCAACTCAAGATAGCGCATGGAAAATCCTGTTACACCCAGGGGAGGGTGCATGAGCACTGGAATGGCATGAAAGGAGTACAATCCGCCAAAAAAGATGGAAATTCCCTCGTCGAAGTCATTTCCTCCCAAGAGGACGACTCGTTCCAGCGTCCGTAGTCGGGTCTCTTTTAAACTTGGGGCACGATTCCGGGCAAAAATTGCATTCGGGGCGGTGAGGCGATAAACAGGAGCATTAATGCTTCTCCGCTCAGCTCTGTGATATGAATCGACCGACTCGGCTGATGAATGAAAGAGCAGATCCGAGGCGGAGCGAAAACGAGCAGGGAGCCGAGTAGCTGACGCGCCGAACAGTTGGAGCTGGGGGACAGGCGAAAGTGGCCGAGATTTGTTACGCGGCGGCGATTACGACGTGATTGCGTCTCCTGACTGACGCACGAGACCTTCGTCATACCATTTTTGTTGTTGTTTGTTTGTTTCCCTCAACTTCCTCGCGTTTACCGTAACCCAGTGCCCGCACGAGTCCCACTCGTCTGCAATCATAATCCCGCTTCACTGCAGAATCCCGTCAAACGCTATACCTGTATCCGGGTACTTCAATTTTTTCCTTACAAATCCAGGAGCGCGAGGCTTTCATTTTGATTTTCTGTTGTTGAATAAGCAAACGGAAAACGATTTTGAGCTGCGATTGACCGTGCCTAAAACATAAACTTTTGTTATATAACAGCTTGACAGGGCGTGATATCGCCAAGAGTTGATGATGAGGCCGAGGATGCTGCGAAAACACTTGGAAATCTGGTGCAATTTTATTAAAAACCTTGAAATACGGTATTTCTCGTTTTTCGACATTCTCAGAAAAGTTTCGAGGTTGATCAGACACGAAGAAATGCTGCGATTTCGCGTTCGGAGAAACGAACGCATTTACACAATGAGCAGCCCTTCTTCTAAAAGCTGTGCTCAAAAGGCTGGTGCGATGCATTTCTGAGATAGTCGTGCACAAACCGCATCGGTCTGCAGAGTATATTTAAATTATTCCTCAGATTTGTTGTTAGGTTTTAACGATGAAAATAAGCAGTTTCTTTTGTGTTTGAACATTGCCACATCTGCAACCCGGCCGCTGTTTTTATCCAATTTTTTTCAAGTTGGATACATTTTTCGATTTTTCTCATGCATGTGGACAATTTCATAGCTAGAATGCACTTTCAGTCATGTATTCCATACATAGGCCGCACATTTATCTTGAAATTCTCCTTGTTTTTCACTCCGGTAAAAGGGTGCGGCCTGTAGTCGCGTAATCCGCTGAAAATAAGCGCCTGGTGAAGTTGTTGCGGGGCTTCAGTCGACAGTAGGTTGCGATATTCTTGTTTATTTCTATTTTCGCCCCGGATGGAAAGGGGTTTTTGGGTACCGATTCATTGAGGATTTCCGATGATTGCTTGGAGATAATTGTTCGCTCGGAGCCGTTGAAGCAGAGAAACCCGATTGCAGCAGTTCGGCGCGAGAAGCTTGCGCGGGCGCGAATGCCCGGCACTGACTGTATTTTCTCGAGTTTGTTTTCCCAGTTCGCTCCAGTTCCTTGTCAAACGTTAGCCTTGCAACATGCTGGCCGAGGTGCCCGATCGCGGCGAGTTGCAAGCGCCGGCGCAGTGAGACCCGGGACGGCGTGTTTGCCGAAAGTGATTTCCCTGCCCGCTCGGGAAAATCGCGGGTGGCTCGAGGCCTAATTAAAGATTGCGCCGATTTCCTCTGCTTCCTGCGTCGGGACTTTTGCTCGACTCGACTTTTCCAGGAACAATTTTCGGGTCGGCGGAAAAGAAACCGTGTCAACAGCCGAGAAGTCCTTGCTTTTTAATACCTGGCAGCTTCGGCGAGAGTTTTCTGCTCCGGAGGAAAGGGTCCGCCCGAGCCTGTTGACTTTTTTTTTTTTTTGGCCTTCCGCTCGGGAGTTCTCCGGGACCGAATCCGAGCGATTAGGTCCAAGACGTGGCGACAAAGTTTCGGAAAACGCTGTGCTTTCGATGCTGCTGTCGTGTTCCCGTGTCGCGCCGTCAACGGAGGAGGAACTCCATTTTTGCTTGGACACGTGGCAATAGCAAAGCAACACTGGGAATCCGTGGCCGATTGCTGGTTTCTTGTTTTTTTCCTTTCTTTTGGAACTTGCAATCCGACTGTTTTGACTTGACTCATGCCGAACGAGTGCCGATCAATGGCGAATCCGGAAATCCGTCCGTCAGCGTGTGATTCCCGAACTCTCGGCTCCATTGCGCACGAGTCGCCACACGACACCATCGCCTCCGTCTCCGACAGTCCATGCAGTCCCTGCATGCCCGACGTATGTTCATCATATTTCATATTTTTTCTCTTTCATTTATCGCTCTGTCTCTCTTCATTGCGAATTCCCTTGCTTTACGGGCTGAAAATCTGTACACTCGGATTGATGGCCGAGTTTCTCAGGGAGGAGGTCAACTTATGACTCGTGTCTGGATATCCCGGGATGATTACCTCCAGAAAACCCTTTCGCTTCAGTTTCGCGGAGGCCAGATGTTTCCAATGTCTATTTTTGATCCGCTGTCCTGGGAAACTTTTCAAGGAATGACCAGATAATTCATTATGATTTTCATGTACCATATGACCTCAATTGCCTGAAGTCCAAACTACTGTTTATTGGATGGTCAGAAAATCACGGATGATCAGACAGGATAAATTTTTGTTGTTGTCTACGGTACCCTGAGAGACAATATTAACAATGGTCGCTAGGAACAATCAAATTTTCGGGTACCTTCATTGAGTTTTCTTTAAAAAAAAAATCTAGCCTGAACGCTGTTACTGTCCATACCGTTTCAGATAAACGTATGCTCGTAGTTGGCGAAACTTGGGGTAAGAATAGGGCTGAGGAACATAATTTAATTGTGCACGAGGTACTCTTGTGTAAGACGTGCACCAATGTTTCCGCACTCACAAAAGGAAATTTCCTTTTCAAGCCTGATATACTTTCCCTGTATGATGTGCACCTTCTTTTCCTCGACAAATTCCTGAAGAGTTGCGCTCGGTACATAATTGCATACAGTACTCCCCATTCTCTTTGAATGCTTGTATGTTTTATATTTCTTGCTGCTCTGAATTGAAAATATATCTTTTTCAATCCAAGATGATTCGAGCACAGAGGACCACTTCAAAGGCACAGCAGTTTCTCGAATGCGTAGTAAATCTAGAATGGGATACAGTATGAAGGCTTTAGTACAATATAGTGTAATCTAAAATTGCAAGAACCATGCTCGAAAGAAAAAGTACATTTGACGCGACTTTTATAGATGTAGTTCAAAAATGAGAAAGAAACGTGGATTTTGAAATACAGTGTGTACCAAAAGAATCACAAGTATCCCAAAAGTCCAAGATTTAAATATTTTTATGTTTTAAGATTTAAAAATTTTAAGGGGCATTTGAATGGTGAAAATTTCGAAGAACAGTAGAGTACGGGATGGTGGAGTGCAAAACGCGATTTTCTAGGATGAAGCGAACGTGGGAAGAACGAAAAAGCATAATTTCATTGTTTTCGAATTGTATCATTCGTGTAGTGATCTTCGGAGCTGAGAAGCATCTATTGGGTCTTCGGAGGTGGAATGAAGATTCATAAGTAACATTTCAACTTTGCAAAAATTGAGGGTCGACAGTTTCGGCTGCATCGATTTTTTTATAACAATGTCTTCGTTGATTTAAATAGATTTTGCTTGAACGTTATCGTCGAATATTTGGTCGCCACAGAAGAGAGGCTTCCATTTTGACTTCATTAGTCAATGCAGTCTATGCAAATGCAAATGTTAGAATTTGCCGCTTATCTACTAAAGCTCTTCATGAAGTACTGCCGCTAAAACATCTTAGGAAACAGTACAGAACTGTATTACCGGTTCACGCCAGAAACCATTTGGTACTTCGGCGTCAATCACTTTCGAATCGCATAATGACCATATAAATCCACAAAGGTGGAGGTTTCAGAGCTTCAAATATCATGTGCTCTTCCGTCACGTGCCTCGTGAAAAAAAAAATGCAAGAAACAAGGTTGCATTAGGGGCGTCAGGTCCCTTTAGAAATGACATGAAAGCTATATTAATTGCCTACTTAGGAGGGTTTAGACAGGTCGCAATTAATTATTCTTCGGAATACGTGTGACGACTGATGATATACGAGTACGTCGGGCCTGGTCAGGCTTCCGTACAGATTTTCACGGTTGATTCGCATTGAAGCGGCTTACCAAAAAAATCTGCTCAACGAAGCGTGGGTAAACATCGTGTTTAAATGTTCTTGTGACCTCGAAAACCGGCCGGAAAAACGTTGAAAAACTGACGCAATCCATGCGCCTTGAAGCATTTTTCCGCGATTGGTCGCTCTCGTTTTGATCTGTTGTATACGTGCGAGAATGCCAACGACTTGTAAAGAAATATATTGTACCTGGAGAAAATAAAACATACACAGGACTCCGGTTCTATCACTTCCTGGGTCTGGATGACTGCGATCCGTGCAGGCATCCGCCGATGTGTCAAGTTCAAGGCACTATTCACGCATGATTCCCCGGTGAATCCACCTAACGAAAGCCTCATCGTGATCTAAAATTCTATAATGTCGCTTTGTAGTCGCGGCGTTTATCCCCGTCCTTTTTTCTAATCTCATACAAGAGACAATGAAGAAAAAACAAAAACATCGAGGTTTTATAGTAGCCTACCATTTTTACGTCAGTGACGAACGAATCTCGGCCTAAATGTCGCGGGACAAGACGAATTTATGAATATCGTAACTTCCCTATTCTTGTACGACATTCGGGCTCAATGTATGAATCCCCATGTTATGAAGCTTTTGTGGATTCCGTAAAACGCCGATGTAGCTACAAGGAAATCTTCTGTAACCACTGAAAATGTACGTTCGTTGTAGAGCTGTCGAGAGTCGAGACACGCTTTATTACTTAAAAATGGATCGATAATTAAGTTATCCCGGTTCATTACATGAATCGAAGACCCCCAATGGATCCTCCATTTTCTGAGCTGATGACAAAAGGCCTCTCTCCGGTTAACTGAAAACTTGAAAGAAATATTGTCTTGCATTTAGCATGGCTCATCAGATCTACTTCAATCCATGTATTTCGAAAATTCGCGTAATGCAGGAGAACCTGGATCACCGGTGTTTCCGCCCGACCAGAAAATCAAATGCTGTATCACAATTGATGAAAAATTATTTGCATTTTTACTGAAAGGAGAACAAGGCATCAAATGATTACCTGAGGCAGAATGAAATTCCAGACAAATATGGGGAAAATAAACGGCTCTGATTGAAATCGAAGGATATCGACAGTATGACCCCTTTGATTGACTTGAAACTTCGCTTATTGATGAATTCAAAATCCGATTTTAATGTGAGAAGCAATGTAGATTGTAGAATAATGAAGAAAACTACATCACATGTTGAATGAACATGTTTTATCCTGATGATCCCAGTTTGGGACGCATACTGCGAGGGACCATTCCAATCGCAAGATTTTTCAAGAATCATTTACCTTACAGATACGGATGGCCGAGGTTCAGTTTCTCCACTTGAAAAATAACTTCACTTTTCTTTTCAACATAGGCACCGACATCATCGCGATTTCGAATTTCATCACGGGCTTTCATTCACGACGGCGAACTTTTCGCTGATTGGTCTCGAGTGGCTGTGAAAACGTACTCCACGGTCATGTCGTGCTCGTCACCTCGTGGATTGCCGGAAAGGTCACAGGGCACTTCAGTGCAACAAATGTCTCCACTTGTGTGGCCCGATCGTTGTCTTTATCCAATTTCCACGAGACTGAAATTTTTTCGCGCGCGATTCGTTTCGCAGGAACTATCAGCAAATACTCGCACGACCAGTCCAATACGATGTCAATTCAAGTTTAAAACCAGGAGAAGGGAATGCATAGCCAAGATTAGTTCGGTATTTGCACGTGGCAGGTAATCTCTGTCGACGCCAATACCTCGACGGGTTGTTTATTATGTAGGGACGGCAGCGAATGCACGAGTCCAGAGACAGATTTCATTAGCAACAGAGAGGCCTGGAAATTTAGACCAAATAGTTTGTCCACTTGTTCTCTTATATTTCAAATATTTTATGAAGAGCGGACCGCTAGCGAAGCCCACGTTGCATAAAGGCAGTACTTTCGCGCTAAATTTCCCGTAAGTTTTCTATCCATCGCTTTGCGTGTTTCGATTTTAATGAAGTACAGGTTTTCGTATCACATTTCTTTGCCTATTTTCTTCAGCGTGAGAACTATTCCTGGGAGTTGGCCTCACGGGAAAATTTGCATCTATACGCGAGGGCGGATTCCGGTGAACACTCCGAGCAAAATGTTTTTTCTTTCTCTTATTGAAAATGGCAATTCAGCAGTTAACTGCGTTCATTCAGTGCTTTGGATACACTGATAGTTTTAAGCTTTTTGGAGACGGCGCGAAAATTTTAATTTTACCCAAATGTAAGATCCTTTCTTGGAATTAAAGCCGATGAAGTAAGCGGGCTTTTCAACCAGTGCTTCACGCACCATTACATGTGATATTTGATTCTCAGCAAAATGTACAAATACTCTGTCGTGTATGGGACGTGTTACGATGCAGCATCCACTGAAAAATTGGCAATCGCTTAGCAAGGATACTCGGTGGTAAATTTTCTATTTCATCGAGGTGAGGAACGTATGATATGAGGGTATATGACGCAGCTCAGCCAAGATGATGAAATGCATGGGTCAAAACTATTTTTTAACCGAGATAATTGAACGAAGTTCGTTCTTCGAATGAATGAGTTGTTTCCAGGGTATTTTGCTGGGATGAAGGTGTTTTATGGAGGAAAAGAATCCGTTCAAAGCTTCTAAGAATAATAGCAGCAAAAGTCAAGGGCGGGTGTGAAACGAGGCTAAATGAAGCCGATTGTGTCGTTTGGGCATTGATTTCTTTTATTCACTCATGCCCCCCTGTCTGACTGGTCGAGTATTCTGTCACGACTGAACTACCGAAGAATTCCCGTCAGAGATACAGTCGCTCGTTTCCTGCGATCTTATAATTCTTTGGTCTATGAGTACTATTGCCTCATTTTTTTTACACCTGTCGGATGAGAGGTGAGAATATGAAGACTCTCTCTCGTTGAAGCAAAGATTGGAATGGAATTTTCTTGAGACAACTTTTGGCGAAGTCCATGCTAAATTTTAATGCTGCATGAGTACAGCGAAGATTTTCAAATGATTCTTTAAATTTGGAAAACCAGCGAATGTTGATATTTTCATGGATTACCATAAAACATTGAATCTGCTTCTGAGAAGCCTTT